GTGTAACATTTTACCATATTTAGTGCAACACTTTTATTTGTTCCCCACAAAATATTGTTTTTTTATTAAATGTTTGGATTTCTAAAATTATTGTGCACTGATTTTTCTAGAATAACTTTTGCTGCCGAATTATCCACTAACCTAGTTTATGATACATTTTTGTCATAGATTATAAATATACATAGGCCTATATTTTTTCATATTTGTTTATTTTATTTTTCTTTATAATGAAGTAGTCTGTATCTAGTAGATCGTGAAAGAATGATTATCAGTTCCACACACAGAGATATATAAATTCTACATTTATTTAAATGAGGGAAAAAAACTTCACTGGTATAGGATCGGTATCGGTATCGGCCAATACCGAACCCTAGGTATCGGAATTGGTATCGGAGGCGAAAAAGGCGGATCGGAGCAACCCTAGTTCTATAGTAGAGTGTCATATATATTTAAAGTAGAGACAGTCTGTTATGTTGTTTAAATTGCAGATAATTTCTAGAGAGCTGTGTGCTTTAAACTTTGCACAAAGTGGGTTACTGAAAGCACAACTAAAACTTACATACTGATATTGATATACTGATTTGTCACTACTTTGAGTGCATATAGAGCGTATGTTTGCCATAGGACTTTTTCCAAGACAAAGTCCAGCTTGTTTTTAAGTTATTTAACCAATAAAAACTCAGGATAAACAATAAATTGTCACCATAAAGGAGTGGCAAAATTGGCCTTTAAAACCAACAGAAAAAATTAAACATCCAATATTGGTTGAACAAATTATTTTATTTTAATTTTTTTTATCTCCCAGAATTGAATGTTTAATTATTTCTGGCTATCATAAGATTTTAATTTACATGATTTGGCATGGATTTAAATCTATCATCAACTCAAACTTATAAAATAAAAATATAACTAAATGTCTTTGTGAGAATTTATGCAAAATAAATTTATAATGTTTTTTAAATAAATGTAAAAAATGTACAAAAAATATTTATAAAAGCCCTCCTAGGGACAAGTGTTGCAAGTTAGCTTCAGCTACAAGCACTGTGATTCATGCATGGGATGACTGTTATTCCAGTTTCATCTATGTTTATTGTATCTGTCCCTACCAAAAAAAAAAGAAGCTAATTATTGTGTGAAGGATACAATGTAAAACGTACATTTTCTGTACGCCCGTTTTTGCATTGGGTCAGAGGGAATAATGCTGTTTATGTTGTGAATATATTAGATCTGTTTTATATGTATGGATTTAGTTTTTGTCTCCACTGCTTCATACAGTGTGCATTTGCTTGTTATCTGTCCATGAAGGCAATTGTTTATGTACAGTATGCGTGTGTGCGTGCCTTTCTCTTCATTAATAATTCACTGCACACACTTGGTTTCATCCCTAGTTCCAGCTCGGCCTTCCCATATTAAAAATGTATTTATTTCTCATAACTGTATGGTTGAGTCTAAGCCAAGCTCATCCTGATCTCCCTCCTCCTTCACTTATCCTCTGTTCTTTCTGTGATTGCTGTTATCCTGTCTTTCCTTCCATCTGGTTAACCTAAGCTCCCCTCCAATAGCAATCAACATCTGCGCACGAGGAGTGTGTGTGTGTGTGTGTGTATGTGTGTGTGTGTGTGTAAAAAAAAAACAACACTCGGCAGGCCATAGAGTCAGTCCTTATTCGGCATTTCTTGGAGCAGGAAGTGGGCTGTGGCCTCTGATTGTGATGTCACAAGAAGAGATTGTATCACAGTTTGCAAAACATGGAGAAAAAATGAGGAAAACTGAGAAATATAAGTGACTTTGGTCACTTATGTCACAGGCCTTTTTATTTCATTTTTATATTTATAATACTGTTTATTTTATAAATGTATTTTTATTTTTTGCTTTTCAGTGCCTTTAATGAATGCCTTTTATGATTTGAAAATCCATTTGACATATATTTAGTCATTTAAAATGTATGAAAATATAAATAAATATATTTTAATATTTGAAGCATTTCTTTTAATAACTGTCCCTCTGTTGTGTCATTTCCCTCTCGACAAACAGTTTTGCCCCTGATAAGCTTTTAGCAAATGTTAGTGTAGTTGGCTACCGTTTCAACACAACTTTCAGTGAAGAAACACAAGAAAACAAAGAAAACGTGCAAACAGAATAATTTTATTGTGTCATTTCCATCTGAGCTGTATGTATTTTTGTCAAATTATGTAGTGAAACTAACAGAAAAAAATCTTAATGTAATTTCCACCACAAAATGCTATTAAACACAACACATAATATGAGATGATGAAAATAAAATTGTAGTAGGAGCAAAAAAATATTACAATAACAAATTTCTGTTGTGATGTGTTACTGTATGTCTGCTGTTGTTAGAAGACAAATGAAATAAGCTAATGAGAGCTTGAAAAGTGTATTAGGTTTATTCTCTGCTTACAGGACCAAAAGTGTCTGTAGTTTATGGAACCGCTATAAATGTCTATTCATTGTCGTCTTTCTCTATACAGAAGACTCCAGAATTCTGCCTTTAGTTGAGTAATTGTGAGTGTAGGTCAAAGGATTTAATTGAATAAACATGGAAGAATGTGAACAAGGAGCCAGTGCAGCAGCAGCAGCATTTGAGTTTGAAGATGATTTGTTTTTGTCCAATCTATTTCTTAGAGACATTATAAACAGTCCAGGCACAAATGCGCCGCCACATGCAAGATGATGTCAGTATGACATCACAGCCCTTGCTCGATGATATCCTTGTCCTTGTTTGTATATGTTTGTGACAGACAAATCCAGCTGTGTTTTTTTTTTCCCATTCACTATCAGTGGATTTCTGATTCGTTCAGCCAAAAATTAAAACTCAAATTTTTTTTTTTCACTCACCAGACAGATATATTGCCACGGTCGTTATTTAGCATTTTCAGCCAATAAGCTTTTCTGTTTGGCTGGTTTGAATCGAGACTTTTTGTGTTTTTTTTTATTTGTATATATTAACATTTAATTTCAGAAATTGTTATACATGTTTTATTTACTATGTTTGTCTCTCTAGTACTGCTTGTGTGGTGGTCAAGAATGACCTTTTTATCTAGTAAAATGAATATGCTAGGCTATATTTTAGTTTCATAATGTTTTTTTGTATTATATTTTGTATTTTTAGAGGATTTGTATGATACAAAATTATATTTATGGAATATTTATGATCCATTTATTACCTGTTAACCACTTTGAGCATAGACCTGAAAACGAAATTTTCAACTTGAAGGGGACATTGGATGCCCATTTTTCCACAAGTTGGTATGATTCTTTAGGGTCTTCATGAAATGTCTGTAACATACTTTAGTTCAAATTCTCCAATGGTCTTGTAAAACAGCACCCTTTATACCTATTAAAAACAAACACACTAGAAACCTAACCAAATGTAAAAAAAAAAGCAAAAAAAAAGTGAATATTTAATTTGATGTCCCCTTTGAACTGTGAAAATCAAAGCCTTAGGTCAAAACATGTTATGTTTCAAATTTGAGGTTGATAAATAAAACATTTCAGTAAGCTTTCAGTAAGATTTTGGGCGCAGTACCAAATGTTTCCACTAAATGAAATTTGCTTCCCATTCATTTTTGACCACGAACAGTACTAATGTGACTAATTTTTTTTAGGACCATTTAACCTATTTGAATTCAAAATTCTAAAAAAAACTGAGATGCTGCATTTTTCAGTAAATTAAATAGTGTGATATCATATAGGCCTGTACTGGCTTTATATATCAGTCATCGGCCATCTTGCTCTCTAAGATATATCTATCAGCCATCAAACAATCCAAATTGGCCAACCTCTACTCACCTTCATGTTGTCTGAAATCGTTATTCTGAAAGCGTCACACATACACATCAAAACATGTAAATAACAGAATTTCCATTCAAACAGTTCCTTTAAGAAGTGGCTCTGTTTGTACATTTATGTGTGGTAGTTCAAATTCTCCAATGGTCTTGTAAAACAGCACCCTTTATACCTATTAAAAACAACTCTGTTCACAGCGACCTGTTTTGGTGCATGTCTCTTTAAATGATAATGGGTCATATGATGCTGCTAAAAAGAACATTATTTTGTGTATTTGGTGTAATGAAATGTGTTTATGCGGTTTAAAGTAAAAAAAAAAACATTATTTTCCACATACTGTACATTATTGTTTCTCCTCTATGCCCCGCCTTCTGAAACGCGTCGATTTTTACAAAACTCATCGGTCTGAAAAAGCGAGGTGTACTGTGATTGGCCAGCTATCCAATGCGTTATGATTGGCCGAATACCTCAAGTGTGTGACGGAAATGTTACGCCCCTTACCATACTGTGAT